TAGATATTCTGTCTGATCATCTATCTATTGATGAAAAGCTGTGCTTAGATCTCATGAGATCTTTAGTATAGTTATCAGATCAAATCAGAACTCTTCTATGAAGATTGATTCTCTGTCTGAGATAATATTCACAGACAATTCATACAATCAGATTATATCACAGATAAAGATATGAGTCAAATTCTTTGACTTCAAGTTCTTGTAGATGAGTATAAAGTATGTTATCTTGATAAAGTAATTCACTATCATCAGCACACTGTTAAAGCAGGTATTATATATGTTCTTGCTTTCAGAGAGACTTATAAGAACATTCATTTCTAGCTGTTCTCAAGATTCTTATAGAATGAGTAGAGGAGTAAGTTCTTTATATAATCTGAATCACACTATTCATGAACTCTAATAAATAGTATAAGAATTCACTATCTTCTTTACAAGTTCTCATATCTTCAGTCAGAAGTATTTTCTTATGAGTAACTCATGAGTTCTAGTATCTGTAAAATAACTTACTAGAGAAGAGTCATGATATCTTTTGATAAGTTCTATACATAGAAACTTATTTACAGATATATAAATTCAGTTCTCTCTTTATAAGAGATGATTTAAGTCTCTTTAATTCTTTATTTCTGCAGAATTGATCTCTGCTGTGAGTAGTTTCTGAATATACTGAGTATATTCATTCTTCAGTTACAGTTCAGACAATCTGAATAGAAGATCTTATAAAGACTTATACTCTGTTTTCTCTTGCATCAGGTCTTTCATAGCACTTCTCAAAGCCTGTAAATTCTTCAGATTATAGATATTCTCTTCAAGAATTCTTACAGAGATTCTCAGAGTGTTGACTCTCAGTGTTATAGAGAGTAGTTATACAGGCTTCTTTTCTCTCTTCTTTCTCTTCTCTTACAGAGAATTGAGAGACTCTTCAGTTAATCTCTTCACAACACTCAGTCTGAGTATTCTGTAAAGCTTTTCTGTCTTCTCTAGTCTCTCTGTATCTGTTGCTCTGATCTTCTTAACATAGTCTGATCTGTGAGAGAGTCTGTCTGCTGAGTTCTTAGTTCTCTTGATATATTCTATCTTGAATCAGAACTCACTCAGTCTCTGAGCCTAGTAAATCTACTACTGTGAGAGTTTCTTGATTAAAGTAAACTATTATAAGCTGTTATAATCAGTTCTAACAGTAATCACTGTTATAAGGTTCTCAAAGTAGTGATATCAGTGATGAAAGAATTTCACTACTGTAAGAAGCTTCTAATTATGAATGTCATAGTTGATCTTCACAGATTGTATCTTTTATAAGAAAAAGATCACTGAAATCCAGTTCTCATTTAACTGTAGTTGCAAGACTATTTCTGAAATTATAAAGAAGAAGATATCTGTCTTCAATCTGATTAAGAGTAAGAAATTAAAGTGAAATAGTATTACTGTATTTATAAATATCTGTTTCAATCTTATAAAGACTCTATAAGCTTCTGAGATAAGAAAGTTCTTACAGTTCTTTCTTCTTAATAATCTTTTCATTCTTTATTCATAGAATGACTTCTTTTTATTTTCATTCTTCAGCATGTCTATAAGAGTCAAGAAGATTCTTATAAATATAAAGATAAACTGTCTATAGAAATTTACAAAGCTCAGAAAGATCTGAATCTTATAAATACTAGTTAGCTTCAGCTATGATAGAATAGTCTCAATCTATGAAGATTTCATCTGAATACTATCTGCAGTGATTACATATTCTAGAAAATTAATTCAGTAGACACTGAAGTTGCACTTTATAAGCTTAATATACAGTTCTGTCTTATCTAAGATCTTTAATACACTTCACACATGCTCAGTGTGTTCTTTCTTCTTTGTGAAGTACACTATCACATTATTCAGATATATTATCATGAAGATATTCAGATATATATAAAGTATTTTATTAATGAAAGACTGAAATGCTGCAGAGATATTAGTCAGATTAAAAGACATTACTAGATATTCAAACAATCTCAGTGCAGTTCTAAAGACAGTCTTTTATTCATCTTCTAACTGTATTCACAGTCATGTATATACATTAATTATATTCAGTTGTGTGAATATGACAGCTCTTATAAGACAGTTGATCACATTCTCAATCAGAGATAGAAAGTAGCAGCTTTTTATTATCTTGAAGTTCAGATTATGATAGTCTACATATAATCTGAGATCTTTATTCTTCTTCTTCATAAATATCACAGAGGCTTCTGTGAAGATCTGTGAAGATTAGATGAAGTCATTCTTCAGATTCTTCTTTACATAGGTCTATAAGACCTCTGTTTTATAATGAGAGAGCTTATAGATTGATTCTCAGAAGAGTTTCTACTCTTCTATTAAATCTATTATCAGATTCTTCTTATAGTGAGAAGAAAGCTCAGCTGTCTTTACTGAGTTAAACATCTCTGCAAGATCTCAGTATTTCTCTGATATCTGAAGCTCAGTTTTCATGATTATGAGATTCTCAGACACTTATAAAGTTATTATATAGATATGCTTATCTTCTCTAATTAACTCTGTAGCATCAACTGATTCTATCTTTATAAGTGAATCTGTCAACACTGATCAGAAGTATAAACCTGACTTATAGACAGCTATGTATGAATTATGTCTTTGAAGTCATGCAAATCTCAAGTATATGTTATCTATGATATCTGCAATAATCACAGTTTCTGTAAATCTTCTTCAGATTTCAGAGAGATCTTGCAATTCAAAGATGACTCTTATGAGTTTCTCAGTTCTCAGGTCTGAGTTCTCACACCCTGCTTATTATAAGAGCAGATTCTCAGTTTTCATCTTTTATCTCATTTACTCTGTGAGCTTTAAAGACACTACAGTGACCTGAGATTCTGAGTTCATTAATACTTCTCATACTTGTAAGACAGTAGTATCACAGCACAGTCTCTCTCTATGAGTAAGTATTTTTATTGAGAAAGTAACAGATTCAGGTGTCAGCTTCAAGACTCTTAAGAAGACTGTTACTAACTCTGTTCATGACTTCTCAAATTTCTATTTTGATTTATTCAGACAGTTTGCACAGAGATATTCTGATTTACAATAGATAAAGCAGAGTCTCTTTTTCTTGATCTCTCTGTTATACACTCTGTTCACAGAAGCTTGTAAAGCTCTCTCTCTCTGCTTAGTAGTCAGATATAAATCTCTCTGTGTCTTATCATCTTTTTCTAATAAATCTGTTCTCTGTTATTCTGAGTCTTGTGAGACTAGTTGATGATCTGCTCTTCATAGATCTGTGACTCTCACAGTGATCTGTAAGTAGTGAATAAGAGTCATCAGTTTCTTCAGAGTCAAGAACTTAGAGTCTTACTCAATGAGCTTGTTCTGCATGTCTTTATTCAGCTTTTTTATAAATATTATTATTGAGATCTTGTTTCAGAGCTCTATTTTCACAGATCTTAATTCATATCATAATTTTATGAAGTACTGTAAGTAGTCTTCATCAGATTTCTTATCTCTTTTTCTAATATTAATAATTATAGCTCAGATGTTCTCTGTTCAGCTCATGAAGTCTCTTAACTTGTTCTGAAGATAGGTCTTAAGAATAGATCAGTGAAGTCTCTCATAATTATTTTCTAGATAATTCAGTCAGTTCTTGACTTCAGTGTAATAGAGATCTGTCATTGTATAGATAACAGCTTTTTCATCTTTTATGTTATATAGCTGGGCTTATGAGTCAATTTTAAATACAAACTTACAAAAGCTTTTATAGATTGTGATTCAATAAGTGGCCTTAAGTAGTTATAACTTAAGGAAGTTTCTTTTCAGTTCACAGGTGTCTCTGAAGATTATGTCTAGAGACTCAGTTTAAGAGTATTTACAGACAGTAAGCATTTCTGTAAGAATAAGTGCTCGCAGGTGATTATTCGGGTGTTTGCAGCTTGGCGTGATATGTACTGTTAACTACTAGAAGTGTTCACAGTAGAAAGATAAATGTAGAGGTCAAATGTATAATAGCATTCAAGCTGAGTTATGAATAGTATTCGTGAACTCCAGTCTATATAGTTGTATGTAGTCAAGAGCCGCTAGCTCTATTGATTATGTGAGAGATAGGAATAGGGATAAAGAATCTGTGAGAAGCAGGATTTCTTACATACTTCTCCCTCTCTAAGACTTTGTCCGTGAAGCCTTTCACTGAGTGACTTCATAGTCAGCTCAGCACTGCAGTAATACTCACTAAAAACCCTTCACATCTATAAAAAACCTCAGTGAGGAAAAATCTCTTATTATTATAAAGAGAAAAGAGTCTGTCACTCAGTTCCTTGTTCTGTAAGGTTCTTTGTAGTCTACAGATTCTTCTCTGACTATCACACAGATTCATCTCATATCTTTCATACAGAAGAGTTTCAGTTAACTCTCAATCATTTTCATGAGATTCTTGTGTGATCATCACATAGATTCATCTCACAGATGAATCACTCTCTGTGAGATTACTCTCATCAAAGAGAAACATTTATGAGTTAATCTTTCATTCATTCTCACAAATCATTGCTCTTTGACACTGTAGAATTATAAGGAATTTTCTATTCTTTCATCAACTCTGTAGAATTGTAGAATCAAGATATCTGCAGTCTGCAATCACTCTTTGTAGTCATATAGAAAGATTCAGATCTGTGATTCACAATCACTCTTATTTACTAGAGTGATCTGACTGTTCTGCAGAATCACTCACAGTGTAAACAAACCTCTCTAGAGTAGTATAAATATCCCAGATCTGTTCATGAAATCTCATCTTCTTTTCTCTTTTTCTATAACAGCTCTCATTCTCATAAACTGTGAGTATTTTCATTCATTCATGAAGTGTTTTCACTCAGATAACAGAGAGAGAGTATTTCTAACAGTGTTCATGTATTGATTCAAGAACTTCTCAAGAATAAAAATTTTTTCAATTTCAATCTCTTCATAAACAATGTCTGGTCACTGCTGAGCTTCTCATGAGTGTTCTCATGACTTCTCTGATTACTTTTTGCCAGCTGATGAAGCAGGGACACTGTCACTCACAATCACATCTTCATCTCCCTCAGCCCTGCCACTGCACCTGATCTTCAGGTCAGCGGCCAACCCCCTGCCTTTCCCAGGCCAGTTCCTGGCTTCAAGCAGTGCAGTTCTCTTCTTTGCTGTAAGTCTTCTTACAAGTAATTCCTTACAGATTCTAGCTGACAGTTCTTGTGAAGCTTCTGGTGTTACCAGTGTCTTCTGTGATCTCACAGGCCTATGACCATTCCTTCTCTGCCCACACAATCTCTGACCAGGCATATGTGAATATGTCTAGATTCCCTACCAATGGTCCTCACACTGCGGTGCATTTCTGCAATCTCATTGTCAATGAGAGATGAGTTTCCAGGTACCTGCAAAATCTGAGTAATCAAGGCAATGCAAATGTCATGAATTCATGACAGAAGTTGATCTGAACAGATGAGCCTTCTCTCTGCATTCTCATTGTTTCTGAGCTGAATACTTCAGCATAACTGAGAGAGTGAACACAGCTTTGCAAGGGATATCTGGTCACACATGCAGATAATCAGTCTTCAAGGCTCTGCTGCAACTGTGCATGCTCTGATATTCAGCTTCTCTGAAATCTGTGCATTTCTGATGATCTTTATATCAAATGTAATAATTATCTATATCACAGATATGATACTCTCTGCTTCTTTGAAGAGAGAAATTGATAGTTATGAGAGAATTGAGTATCACAGATATTGATAATGTGAGTGTGAATTTTCTTTATTTTTTCTTTATTAATCTCTAAATTGCATTCACAGCCCTGTTTATTTTCTTATTTTTTAGCTTTAATAAGAACATGTTTTCTTCTTTTCTTGTATACACTGCAGACTGTTCATTTCAGTAGAAACTCATTATCTTATAGACTAAAGTTCACAAATGACAGTGTTAATATCTTTATCATAATCAGATTCTTAGTGAAGACTGCATTATTCTGACTTATCAGAATTCACAGTATGAAAGTCATGTCTCAGCTTCTGCAGATATCTTATCTGCTCAGATGATTCTCAAGTGAACTCATTCATCTTATCAGAATACTCTTGTCACTGAACCTTGAATCAGAGCTTACAATCTCACTTCTCTGAGTTAATAATCTCTTTAATCTAATATTCTCTTTCACTCTCTAGTACTTCATGAACAGAGTGATGAGTCACAGGATTCTCTTCTAAGAATTTCTTATATTCACAGAGTAAAGAGACATGAAAAACATTATATATCTGTAACTCAGATAACAGTTCTAATCTATAGAACTGTGAACTAACTTTCTTCATAATCTTATAAGACTCTGTTCACAAGAGATTCAGCTTCTTACTAAATCTTCATATAATGATATTTTCTAGACTCAGCTAGACTCTATCATCTTTCTTAAAACTCTTTGCAATATGCTTGAAGTCATAGTATCTCTTCTGATACTCTTGAGCCTTTCTCAAGAATTCACAGACTTTCTCTCAAATCTTCTGAATTCTCTCAGCTCATTCACAGGCATCATCATACTCTATAGTATACTCTCACAGGTTCATCAAGATCATCTGCAGATGAGTCTCAGTAAGCATCTCAAAGAGGGTTTTACCTGTGCTGACATGTTTTGAGTTATTGTACACAAACTCTGTCAGTGATAATCAATATACTCAGTTATTCTGATTGTAATTAACAAAGCACTGCAGATACTGTTTCAATATACTTATCAGGTATTCTGTCTGATCATCTATCTGTTAATGAAAAGTCATGCTTAGATCTCATGAGATCTTCAGTATAGTTATCAGATCAGATCAGAACTCTTCTGCAAAGATTAATTCTCTATCTGAGATAATGTTTATAGACAATTCATGCAATCAAATCACATCACAGACAAAGATGTGAGTCAAATCCTTTAACTTCAAGTTCTTACAGATGAATATAAAGTATGTCATCTTAGTAAAGTAATTCACTATCACCAGCACACTGTCAAAGCAGGCATTATATATGTTCTTGCTTTCAGAGAGGTTCACAAGAGCATTCATTTCTAGCTGTTCTCAAGGTTTCTGCAGAATGAATAGAGAAGTAAGTTCTTCATATAATCTGAACTGCATTATCTATGAACTCTGATAAACAGCACAAGAATTCACTATCTTCTTCACAAGTTCTCACACCTTCAGTCAGAAGTATTTTCTTATAAACAACTCATGAGTTCTAGTGTCTGTAAAATAACTTACTAGAGAAGAGTCATGATATCTTTTAATAAGTTCTACATATAGAAACTCATTCACAGGCACATAAATTCAGCTCTCTCTTTGCAAGAGATTATTTAAGTCTCTTCAATTCTTTATTTCTGCAGAGTTAATCTCTGCTGTAAGCAGTTTCTGAATATATTGAGTATATTCATTCTTCAGTTGCAGTTCAGACAATCTGAATAGAAGATCTTGCAAAGACTTATACTCTGTTTTTCCTTACATCAGGTCTTCTGTGATGCTTCTCAAAGCCTGCAAATTCTTCAGATTATAGATACTCTCTTCAAGGATTCTCACAGAGATTCTCAGAGTGTTGACTCTCAGTGTTATAGAGAGTAGTTGTACAGACTTCTTCTCTTTCTTCTTCTTCTTCTCTTATAGAGAATTGAGAGACTCTTCAGTCAATCTCTTTATAACACTCAGTTCAAGCTTCTTATGAAGCTTTTCTGTCTTCTCTAGTCTCTCTGTATCTGTTGTCCTGGTCTTCTTAACATAGTCTGATCTGTAAGAGAGTCTGTTCACTGAGTTCTTAGTTTCCTTGATATATTCTATCTTGAATCAGAACTCACTCAGTCTCTGAGCTCAGTGAATCTGCTGCTGTGAGAGTTTCTTGATTAAAGCAAACTGTTATAAGCTATTATGATCAGTTCTAACAGTAATCACTGTTACAAGGCTCTTAAAGTAGTGATATCAGTGATGAAAGAATTTCACTATTATAAGAAGCTTCTGATCATGAATGTCATAGTTGATCTTCACAGGTTGCATCTTTCATGAGAAAAAGATCACTGAAACTCAGTTCTTATTTAGCTGTAGTTACAAGACTATTTCTGAAATCATAAAGAAGAAGACATCTGTCTTCAATCTGATTAAGAGTAAGAGATCAAAGTGAAATAGTATCACTGCATCTGTGAATATCTATTTCAATCTTGCAAAGACCTCATAAGCTTCTGAAATAAGAAAGTTCTTACAGTTCTCTCTTCTCAACAATCTTTTCATTCTCTGTTCATAGAATGACTTCTTCTTATTTTCACTCTTCAGTATGTCTGTAAGAGTCAAGAAGATTCTCATAAATGCAAAGATAAATCATCTATAGAAATTCACAAAGCTCAGAAAGATCTGAATCTCATGAATACTAGTTAGCTCTGATTATGATAGAATAGTCTCAACTCATGAAGGTTTCATCTGAATATTATTCACAGTGATTATATATTCTAGAAAATTAATTCAGCAGATACTGAAGTTGTACTTCATAAGCTTAATATACAGTTCTGTCTTATCTAAGATCTTCAACACACTTTACACATGCTCAGTGTGTTCTTTCTTCTTTGCAGAGTATACTATCACATCATTCAGATATATTATTATGAAGACATTCAGATATGCATGAAGTGTTTTATTAATGAAAGACTGAAATGCTGCAGAGATATTAGTCAGATCAAAAGACATCACTAGATATTCAAACAGTCTCAGTGCAGTTCTAAAGACAGTCTTTCATTCATTCTCAGATCATATTCACAGCTGTGTATATACATTGATCACATTCAGTTGTGTGAATATAACAGCTTCTGTGAGATGATTAATCACATTCTCAATCAGAGACAGAAAGTAGCAGCTCTTTATTATCTTAGAGTTCAGGTCACAGTAGTCTATACACAATCTGAGATCTTTATTCTTCTTCTTTATGAACATCACAGAGGCTTCTACAGAGGCCTGTGAAGATTGAATAAAGTCATTCTTCAGATTCTTCTTTACATAGGTCTGCAAGACCTCTGTCTCATGATGAGAGAGTTTATAGATTGATTCTCAGAAGGGTTTCTGTTCTTCTATCAAATCTATTGCCAGATTCTTCTTATAATGAGAAGAAAGCTCAGCTGCCTTAGCTGGGCTGAACATCTCTGTGAGATCTTGATATTTCTCTGATATCTGAAGCTCAGTTTTCATGACTGTGAGATTCTCAGACACTTACAATGTCATCACATAGATAAGCTTGTCTTCTCTAATCAACTCTGCAGCATCAACTGCTTCTACCTTCATAAGTAAGTCTGTCAACACTGATTGAAAGTATAAACCTGACTCATAGACAGCTATGTGTGAATTGTGTCTTTGAAGTTATACAAGTCTCAAATACATGTCATCTGTAATATCTGTGATAATCACAGTTTTCACAAATCTTCTCCAGATTTCAGAGAGATCTTGCAATTCAAAGATAACTCTTGCAAGTTTCTCAGCTCTCAGATCTGAGTTCTCATACCCTGCTTGTTGCAAGAGCAGATTCTCAGTCTTCATCTTTCAGCTCATTCACTTCATGAGCTTTAGAAACATCACAGTAGCCTGAGATTCTAAGTTCATCAATACTTCTCATACTTGCAGAGCAGCAGTATCACAGCACAGTCTCTCTCTATAAGCAAGTATTTTCATTGAGAGAGTAACAGATTCAGGTGTCAGCTTCAAGACTCTTAAGAAGGCTGTTGCTGACTCTGTCTGTAACTCTCTAAATTTCTATTTTGATTTGTCTGGACAGTTTGTGTGAAGATGTTCTGATTTAGAACAGATAAAGCAGAGTTTCTTTTTCTTAGTCTCTCTGTTATACACTCTGTTCATGAGAGCTTATAAAGCTCTCTCTTTCTGCTCAGCAGTCAGATGTGAATCTCTCTGTGTCTTGTCATCTTTTTCTGACAAATCTGTTCTCTGTTGTTCTGGCCCTTGCAGGGCCAGTTGATGATCTGCTCTTTACAGGTCTGTGACTCTCACAGTGATCTGCAAGTGATGAATGAGAGTCATCAGTTTCTTCAGAGTCAAGAACTTAGAGCCTTGCTCAATGAGCTTGTTCTGCATGTCTTTATTCAGTCTCTTTATGAATATCATCATTCAGGTCTTGTTTCAGAGCTCTGTTTCCACAGGTCTCAATTCACATCACAATTTTATAAAGCACTGTGAGTAGTCTTCATCAGATTTCTCATCTCTTTTTCTAATATTAATGATCACAGCTCAGATGTTCTCTGTCCAGCTCACAGAGTCTCTCAACTTATTCTCTAGATAGGTCTTGAGAACAGATTATCAGAATCTCTCATGATCATTCTCTAGATGATTCAGCCAGTCCTTGACTTCAGTGTAATAGAGGCCTGTCATCACATAGGTGACAGCTTCTTCATCTTTCATATCACACAGTCAGGCTTGCAAGTCAATTTCAAATGCAAACTCACAAAAGCTTTTATAGATTGTGATTCAATAGATGGCCTTAAGTGGTCATGACTTGAGAAAGTTTCTTTTCAGTTCACAGGTGTCTCTGAAGATCATGTCTAGAGACTCAGTTCAAGAGTGTTTGCAGGCAGTAAGCATTCCTTGTAGAAAAATAGCTTGATCTCATGAGAGATGCTCAAGAATGTTCTTCACTGAGATTGATTTGTTCATGGGTTTGAAGGGTTCCTCTGTCACAGATGCAGAGAATGGTGTCCCGCGAGTGATTGATAAGTCCTCTGGGACTTCTTCCACAGAGGTTATTCATGATTCAGGTGGCTGCTCCTGAGTGCCTGCAGTAGGGTTTGCAGGGGTTGAAGTATGCAAGTTTCTAGTTCTTTCAGTCATAACAGGTGGTTGCTGACTGACTGAGCTTGAAATGTAAGAATAAGTGCTCACAGGCAATTATTTGAGTGTTTGCAGCTTGGTGTGATATGTACTGTTAACTACTAGAAGTGTTCACAGTAGAAAGATAAATGTAGGAATCAAATGTATAATAGTATTCAAGCTGAGTTGTGAATAGTATTCATGAACTCCAGTCTATATAGTTGTGTGTAGCCAAGGGCCGCTA